TTCCACTTTATGTGTCATTTTGGTTATTTAATGCTATTTAATTCATATTTTACCATAAGTTTTCTTTTTCTAGCGTAATCTCTATTGATACGTTAAGATTACTGCACTTCAAAAGTTTACAGTCACTGAAAATTGGTCTATCTGCTCTATTCTAGGATTAATGAGTATGTTTTTGTTTTAAACTTTTTTTCTCTATATATTTATCTTTATGAAGTGAGTTTTGGCAGCATTTGCTGTAGTCATCTGATCATAATTTATTTCTTATAATTTTTCCCAATATAAACTAGTTTCTTTAGTACAGAAACGGAAATCTTTTTTTTACAAAGGCTACTTGTTCGCCTTTCTAATTTGTTGCAGTATTTTTTCAATTTGAGTGTTACTGTAGCTTTTGAATTTCTTCTTTCTTTTAATCAAATTTTTTTCTTGAGGAACGGCTTCAAAATTTTGGTTCCAGAATGAAACATAATAGGAAATAGACGGAGGGGAGGAGGGGGGAAAAATCAACCTCTGAAAGGTAGTTTTTTTCTATTTATTTTGGTAAAATAGTTTGAAGATTTTGTATATAACGGTGAATACTGGCGCAAAATTAGGGGTAATACGTATCTGTGTTCTCTCTGTTTGAAGGATGAACTAATTTTTTCATTTCCAATTTTACGCTGTTTACCCTTTTAAGTGTTCGTATCGACCTTCAAAACCTTTGCAATTGTGAACCGTGTTAACATAATCCATTTGTGGCCAGCTTTAGTGATCTTTCTCTGACCGGTATTGTTATTTTCACGATGGTTCTGTTTTAGCCAACTGCTCCCATTTCTTTGATACTTTATATTACAGTGTTTTCAAATGATGGTGGAAGATTATCTAATTTTTTTTTTTTTAGGGAAAGTGTCCTGAAATTTTTGCATGGGATTTCGAAAATGGTGATTTTTTGTATTGAAAACAACTTGAGCTTTTTACCATACCAATTTGGAGTTTTAGTCTTGAATACTAATTGCAGATTGTGTGATTCATCATTTTTAGGATTGGCTTTATAGTTTTCAGAGAGTGGCTGGTTTAAATTTAAAGTTGAGAAGTAGAAGGACTGAAGCTTTTATATTACACATGAATTTGCAAGAGAATTTAGTATCTTTAATATTGGGATCACTTACTGAGAATTTGTATTAGAGCTCTGGCTTTGAGCATGGTACAGTTTGGGTAGAATTTTATTCAATATTTTATAAGAACTAGTTTCATTTTCTTCCGATTGTTACTGGGTGGAATGGAATACAAACCATATGTATTTGGTACTGGAGATAGAGTTACTAGTTTCGTTTATATTAGTTAAACTACTTTTCTGGCAAATAGTCCAGTTACTGTTTACACTGCTAGTCTCTGAATGGTTAAGAGTTACTGGTTTCGGCCTGGAATGGATATCTAGTTTCCTTTCCCTTAGAGATTTTGATATTTGACAATCTTATAGAAGGAGTTTTCATGGCTAGCAATGCTGGGGTGGGTTTAAGAGAAACTTTAATTGACATATTTCAAACACAGTGTGTGAAATAATTTTGCGGTCAAAGTGTTTAGAACCAGAATAATTATGTTTTCAAAATTTTATTGCTTTATAAATGTAGTTTTAACCACAAATCCAACTATATCGTGAACAGAAACTTCAGTATTGATGTGACTCCGAATTTTAACGTGATGCAAAAAACTTATTGGTTGTTGAAGAAGTTTTCAATTATTTTTATTGCTTTTAATTACTCTTTAATTTAGTGAGAGTTTAAGCCTCATTATCTAAATTCTGGGCTCGGAGGTATTTGTTTTTTAAATATTTATTTTAACTTTTCTAAATTTGAAGGAACTTGCATTAGAGAAAATGATTTGGTTTGTGATGTTAAGGGTACAGTTATATCCAGTACACGCAGTTTGAGGTGTGGGATTTGGGTATGAGGAAAAATGATAAACATATATAGCAGAAATATAATTTGATTTTAAAAGTAAAAACGTTTATTTCTAATTTTTTGGATTTGCGTAACCAGAGGAACTTGCTGATCTTTGCTCGATTATAGCAGTCTTGTTGGTAAAACTGCATTAAAGTATGTTATTTTAGCTGTGAAAATATTTGTTTTAATTTTGCATGGAGTTATTACTGGGGTTGACTTTTACGGGTTTTTAAAATCTGACTATAAAAATCTGTTTTTAATTCTAGTTTTACAAATAAAAGAAGTTATTTTTGGTCAGAAAAAAGATGAATCAGTCAGTGTACGCTTTGCGCAGATTTGTTCAGAGGAAGTTATTGATTAGACTAAAATTTTCGTGAATTATGTATGTATATATTTATTTATTTATTTGTATTAATATTTATGTATATAACCACGTCTAGTGAAATTAATTCGACTGTATTTTTGAAAAAAACATTGTGCAACGTGTAATTGTTAGGAAGGATGAATTGAAGTTGAGAACTTATTGGTATTGAGCTAGGAAATGAAAAATAAAAAGGACAAGCAAATTTTTCGCTTTTTCAAACAGTATTCTCGTTAAGTGAAAAAAATGTTTAACCGAAAAAAAAGTAAAATGAGGTTGAAGAGCAGTGGAAGGCAAGGATGAAGTCGAAGAGCAAAGCGTAGATGGAGCGACAGACATTGAAGAAGTTAGCATCAATGGCTGAGACGAGTCCAAGTGTAAGTCTGAGTTTACTTGTACAGCTCTGGTAGCTGATGGATAGCGTTCGGCGTATGGGTCTGTGCGTGCGTGTACTCGGTGAACAGTTATATTTGAAACAAAATGGTTAGAGTACATGTCTCTGTGTTTGTGAACAGAAGGTATATGTTCGGCAAATGTTTACTTAGCTGGCAAAGTGTGATAGGGTTGGCCAATACTCATGGTTTTTGTCGCACCTCATGTAATCTTTTTTTACTTTATGACGGACCGCAGTGCTTCAAATGGTTATTTCATCTATGTGTTTCCGCCTATCCCTACAGAATCATTTATATGACATTTTTCAGTGGTTATTGTTGATCAGTATTTTATTTGAAGTATTTCGTAGAAGGTCTTTCTTGTAGTTTCTAGAAATGCTCTGAAAACTATGGAAATTTTTCAACTTTTGTCAAAAAATGCTTTTATTTTTATTATTTCTTTTCTTTGGTCATTGTAGTGATTATTCTTTGGTTGTTATTGTCCTAACAACTTTTTGAAGAAATCTGCTGAGGTAATTGAAGGGATTGGTTAAAGCAGTAAATGCGAGGAAGTAATTTTGAAAGATGAAAGGAAGTTGAAGGAGCATTATAGCTTTCGTATGTTTAGATTGATGTTGTTGATTCTGATGATATTTTTTGTTATTTCACCTATTATAAATTCATATTTTACACATCCTACTGCATCATTTAATTTTCTTTCATTCAACTGGTTTTTGGTTTTTCTGAGGGTTTTTTCACTACTTTACCATTATTTTTATTTGTTTACTCTCCAGGTCATTGAATTTGGTAAAGAAGCAGTTCCTGGTCTTTTCACTTATTTAAGAGGACAATCTGTTCTTTTAACTTCAGAGTTCTTGAAAGTCCTGTAGCAAAATTCAGTTTTACTGTTAGTAAAAAAAAAGAATAAATGTTGGTGCGAAATGAGTAACTCTTAGTAGTCTTTACACTTGGAAAAAAAAAAAAGAAACTAACACATTTTTAACTGTTTGAACTGCGACTGGTCTTTTTTTTCTGCATGAACGATAGTGTTTTTACTCTGACTTTGAGGCGGTCTTAAATTTTCAGTGACCTCGGATGTTACCAGCCAGCATTCAATGAGTTCAGTAGGAGTAGAAGAAATGGATGGTAATGCAAGTAACGGAGACGGACATCTTTCTGCTACTGAATCAGGGACGACAGCAAGATCTTTTGGTAATAGCTTAATTTGCTTACTCAACAAGTTTTATGGATTATTTTTGAATTTTTTTCGCTATTTTTACAGTTTCTCAAAGCATTTTAAGTAAAAGAATTTTTGCAATTTTGTTTGAGCATAGTAAGTGGTAACGTTGGTATGGTCTATGGTCTTTTTCCAAGGTTTCTTTCTTATTTGTTATTGACAGTTTTTTATGGATGACACTAAATATGAAACTTTTTCATGTTCTTCATTGCACTCTGGTTTTAGCATCTGGCTAGTATCCTCCTTGTTAAAAGAAATTTGGACTTTTTGAAAAAGTTATAAATTTTCTAAACAACTTTCGATAAAATGGTCATATTAGTTATATAAGGCCCACTACTGTTCTCTTAGACTTTGGAACTGTCATTTTTTCTTAATCTAAGTTTATTTTAATTGTTTTAATTTCAACCAGTTGTTTTAACAGTATGCCAGGTAACACTATTATTTTTTCTCAGACAAATAGTTGCATTTAACAATAAAGTTAACTAGGATTTTTTGCCTGTCAGCAAATTGAAACGATTTCTAAACAATCAAGCGAATTTTCTTGCTCAAGATATTAAGCAGGCTTTGATAACTTCTTTTAAAAATTATAGTTGATTGGATTTCGACTACTTAGAGGTCCTCTACTAGACGTTGTTTTACATAACTTTAGATCTTTCTGCTGTTGTCTTTAGGGGGTGTAGGTTTTTTTAGTTTTCAGTTACAGTTTAGGGTTTGTTACCTGGTTTTGCGTGTCATCGGTATACAACTTTTATTATCCACCTTTAAGCACGCTCAACTGCATCCTCAAGTGATGTGAATTCGGTAATGATGCCTTCTGTTGACTGGCCAGGCGTAGATGGTATTTCTGCTGGTCGGTCTGCTGCCATTGGTGCACTTTGTAGAATTATATGTTCTAAAAACAGCCAGGAAGCACTGTCTGATTTGCAGCTTGCTCAGTTTTATAAGGTCATGTATGAGGCTTTACAAGAAGTAAATTTGCTTTGTTCTTCCTTCTATGTTTTTTTTTTT